GTACATTTGAGCTTTAGAAATCACGTCAACAAAAGGACCGTTATAAGTGGGGCTTATTTATTATCCAATTTCAGAATTTCACTCGTTTTAATGCCATATAATTACAGAAGAATTTGTCCGCAGCAAGTTTTTGCGATTTCTGAGATATACTAAAAATATTAGGAGGCGGTGTCAAGATCAGTTTTGAAATGCCCCAGCTACTGCATTTGCCCATACCAAAATACATCTTTGTTTCTTACTACATACTTATATAACACTTTAGTTATCTCTATTACTTTACAGTTCTTGTGAATATATAAAAAACTAGTTTGAAGTATCAAACGTGGAATCCCAATTAAAATGATGACATAAACGACAGTATAGTTCCTGTTTTACAAGGAAATTATTGTAAAGTTTTGGTAAGTATATTACTAAAATACATACATGAAATTACATACTTTAAGAGCACTATTTTTGCAAAACTTTATCCCGATAGATATATTGGTGCTTGATTGGTTTTCTGGAAACAGAAAAAGTCAGATGGAATTTAAAGTTGTGTTGCATGGGAAATAGGAGTGTTTGCAGTCCGATTTCACCCATTTTAGCATTGTAATAATCTTGACAGACAGTTACTACGGCTAACTCCGTTACTAAATCTAAACAGAACTCTCAACTTTGTAGAGAGTAAGTGGCGTTTTCGTTAGTTCAAAATTTAATGGACAGAAATACAAGTAAGGAAGAGCAAAAGAAAAGCCAGGGAAATACCTTCAGATGCTTGCGATTTTTTAGTTATATGGGACCAGGGTAAGATTTCAGCCGATTGTATTCATTTTAGGCAGAAAGAAGAACCGTTATTATAGAACAATAAAGGAAAGGCCAAGCTCTTAAGTAAGTGAACATTTTATATAAGTTAAGTTTACACATCTTAGAAAAGTTTTACCAATCCAAAAGCTCATATGATAAATTACTCTCCACAATTCAAATATAAACATTAGTTTTATTGATTTTGAAAACTCAAGTCTTGAAATGAATTGTGGTTATTTATAGAAAACGCAGGGCACTAGAATTAAAGAGGAACAGGTTCCTAAAAATTTTTTTTTGCGGAAAGAAGAATATATAATAGACAACCTAAACAAATATAATAACCAGAGAGCTCAAAAGAATCTTCAACAAATCCAAAAGTTTTGATATACATCTGATCATTCCACATAGATTCTGTATTTAGTAAACTGCTAAGTCGCGCTTATTATTTAAATACTCTAACTGAGTTCTTTTCTGTATTATATTTATGTTTTATTTTTCGCCATTCGACATGGCTATATCAAATACATGATACATAGGTTGATATGGGTATTCAGTTCGTTCAAAAATAACGCTTTTCCTTTGTATGATCAATTCGCGGCTAACTATTTTTTGTCTTCTTTTTTTTCACCCAAAATTTGACTGTTTATGAATTATTCTCTTCTTATGCATTTGCATTGAATACTCTGAGAAGATAATGACCCGAAACATATGAGCAGGCTCTATACTCAATGAAGACAAGGCAACCATATTGTGATCATCAACAACAATAACAACTGACATCTTGACCACTACCGCAACGACTACCAGTATTGATAGCAACAAAAAGGGAGGCTACCAACCACTGTACACTAAACCTAGAACTGTCAACATCCAAGGCAGCCAAGAATACTAACCAGAGTATACTGAAAGCCAAAGGGGAGGTACAGCGCAAAAAGAGAAAGAATCTCAAATCCAACTGAGATCAGGCTGCTGGTGCCCCAGCTATTAAAGAGAAAATAAAGCCCCACATGCAGGTGGTTAAGAAGTTTCCTGAAAAAGAAATAATCATTACATCCCATGAATACCGCTGAAACAAATACGCAAAAAAGAAATCGCTCCTACAACAAAACTTTGGAACTATGCCCAAAAAGCTAAATCGGGGGGAACAAAACAAGCAGCACAACAACATTTAAACACTTGCGATGGGGCAAGTGTCTATAATAGACGAAAACTCTACCACACGTTAGGTGTGGGATATCGACCTCACCTGGGGGATATCGACTTTAGATTGTTGGGTCTAGTGGTAAACTACGTTCACAACAATACAGCGGGACCCCATCCGAAGTTTGACTCCTCTTAAACCTTTAGATATTATAGGGCAATTAAGTGCGCAGACCAGGCCTTTTTTGATTTCCTGGTGGGTAGCGACGCATTAGATGGCCTAAAACTGAAACTCATACCTACTAAAGGTATCCCAAAGATATATCGCCTTTGATAACACCCTCTATGGGAATCAGACGAAAAACTACTGCGGTGCATTAACCCAGTCCCCTCACAGGGGACATCGTAATTCCACCATATCACTCGGATGTCCCCTCTCAGGGCCCACTCAAGTTTAATAGTGATTACACAATAATAGCTGGATCAGCGAATTCCGGAAAACCGCAGACCGAATCAGCTGATCGGAGTCGAATGATATTATTTATAAATATATAACTATTTTTAATACTTTGTGTTCAGTAATTGAAAATTTAGATGTGTACAAAACTGTGAATGAAAACAAAGAAAGATGGCTGATTTCTACGGGCTCAATTTTTGACACATTTTTCTCGCTTCGGTCGGCAATTGAGGAAGAGAGGAACGGAATTCGCTGTTTCTGCTATAAATCAACATATAGTAAAATTACTATGAGATATATACCACTTGAAAAGAGAGATACGAGGAGTTTGTGGAAAAAAGTTTGAAATGCGAACATAGCACTCACTGTATAGGGTGATTTATATTCATAAATAAAAAAGTCTAAATCTGGAAGAAAAGATTTCTAAATCCGAATTTTAATATTATTGGCAAACAAGCAACAGCCAGCCTCCAATGCATATTGGGGAGTGTTTTAAAATGCAAATTATAAAGACTAAAATATTGTTTTTTTTTTTTACAAATAAAAATTCCTCGATCACAACAAATTCATATCAGTCATTATCATTATAATACGTTACTTAGTTATAAAATTATAATAAGTTATACGAGGGTTTGTAAATGTTTGTTTACAGCAAAAACGGAGGCGCTGACTAGCTGATAGCCAAGTGCAAAGGGTTAAGATATAGAATATCTCTATACCAGATATAAATAACTTATTATACAAAAACTTATCAAAGAAGAGAAACCTAATAAGGCAAGCTGACCCATAGTGGTAGAAATTTGTCAGGAATCCGTGAAGAACTCGCGGTTCAAATGGGAGTGTCTCATAACAGTATTTACCTTAGGTGCAAACTAGAGGGAATTAAGCAAACGATTATATACTACCGAAGTTAGTGACCAACTCTATCACTATCCTGCTGTAGAAGTCTTGGAACAGATCAGGTATAGATAATTAGTTTGAGCATGAAGGAATTTACCTGGAGACAACTTAACCTTTTTAACCTGCTAGTACACCAGTCACTGAAAGGAAGTTGTCGAAAATATTAATGGCTATACTGAGAACTTTCAGAGGCATATTTTTTTAAAAGACTCCACTTGAGTGACGGCGTAGTGCTCAGATCTAGGTCCAAATTGCACAGCGGTAGAGACTAGTGAGGAAGTTGCGCGTTGGCAGCAGTCTTAAAATGGTTTGGATGGAGCCGATTGATGTTCGACTCAATAAAAGCTCTGATGCAAACTATTGCTGCAATGGCGACAGAATTATTAAAAACTTACCGATTCGAAAAGTTTCCATCGCCGAATTAAGATATACTCGGGCATATTGTTCATATTATTTTGAGTCAATTGAAGACATTAAACGTGGATCGCTAAGCGCATTAAAGGTTGTTCCGGAAATCGATTTTAGCAACTGTTTCGAGGATTTGGAAAAAACTTTGACACAAATGTACTAGGGCCAAGAGGGAACAACATAGTTTTTTAAATTAAGAGTTTTAAAAGTATGAACAAAGTCTTAATATTTTCTGATCATAGTAGTACCTAGTACGAAAGGAAAAAATCTCGTATATTCGTTAATATATTTAAAACCTTATTTCAGCTTCTGGCAAAAGCATTAACAAATAAAGACCTGAAGTTTATATAATTTAATAACCTGAATTACATATTATCTTCCGCCTCGACTGTACTTCAGAGCGAGCGCGCACCGACTGGATTCGGTAGAAGGCGGTCCTAGCTAATGAACAAGCGGTTGTTTAGTTTTCTCCGAGCACCTGGAGAGTAAGGACAAACATTTTCGCGTGACGTGTTTCTGTGAGTGACGCAAGCCGAAAATTAAGCATTCGTTAGAGCGAAAGTCCGCGATTAAATTCTGCGTAAATCTCAGTAAATCTGCGACAGAAGCATTTGACATGATCAAGCAGGCTTACCCAGATGTTGCCTTAGCAAGAAGTGGTGTATTTTGGTGGCACCAACCCTTTTTGGAGGGCCGGAAGAGGTCGCTGAGGAAGACCGTACTGGAAGACCTGCGACACCGACAATGTGACACGTATGCAAAGTTTTGAACTCAGAGCGTCGACTAAGTACTCGTATTTGTTTAATTGCCCAGATGTTAAATTTATCAAAATCTATGGTTCATGACATTGTGACGGAACACTTGAGCATGCGTAAGTGTGTTCGAAGATGGTTAAAAAGTACTCACTGACTACCAGAAATTGCGAGGAGTGAAAGTGTGCCAAGAAAATTTGAAGATGTGTGAAGGCCAACACTTCCGCAGCGGCCCTACAGCCTTGATGTTACCTCCGGACTTTTTTTGTGGCAATCCTCAAAAAGCTGACAAAAGCTGATGAAAGACAAGAATTTTGATACGATGGAGGGGATCTAAGCAGCATGCACCTTTGAGAATGCCTTCCATGACGCTAGCGGCGCTGCATTGACGCAGAAGGAGCCTATTTTGAAAATGTTCAATGAATTGTAACGATTGATTCAATAAATTTTTTTAATTCGACTCAGGCCTATTACTTTCCGGACAAACCCTGTGTACATACATAAAAAGTCATAGTGTGTATATATTAACTAAAAACAAAAAATTCAATTGTATAAATTACCAAGTTTTTCATTAATCACTGTTTCCCAGACTCAGTTGACTTCTGCGGCTCATTACACAGTTCAATAATTTGCTTTATTTCGACAAATCAGAATACCTATGGCGCAGATACATTTAAAAAATTACATACATGTATACATATACATATACCCATATGTAGTAAAATTAAAGTATAACACTCCAAAAAAGTGCAGAGTTTCAGTAAAGAGATATAAAGGCACGAAATTTTTTCTACATATGCAGTTGTAGGCTTATTTTTTTAATATATCGTAAATTCACTTCACCAAGCCAGGAAATATAACGTTTTTTATATAAAAACGAATTGTTCTCCCTTCTTTTATTTCCCTGAAGGTTAACGTTTTTGCAAAACAGAACTAGTATATTTCTGTTTTATAATACAGGACGTTACTGAAAAGAACTGTGCGGAAGACTGTCTAAGCCAAAGCTTGTTTTATTTGCTCAGACTCTAATACCAATTCGTGCCAACCTCGGTGAGAGTTCAAAAGCTCCATCACAAAGAAAAAGCTACCAAGTACTTAAATATGCATGTGCATTAGAACGGGTCGATTTTTTACTATACATGAACAATTTTGCATAAGAGATTATCCGTCTAAAACTGGTTTCAAACTAGCGATTTTTAGGGCGAAGTTTAAAAATTCTCAATAATCGATTATATGCTAGATATGCAACATAGTTAGAACATAAAAATGCACCTGCCTATTAAACTTCAGTTGAATATCTCAAAAACTGACGAAAATATTAAATTTTAATAATCTCTAAAAAAACTTCGCCTTCGTTGGCTCGAAACCGGTTTTAAATCCTTAATCTCATAGGAAAAGTAGTTCAGAATGATCCATAGAACATTTAACACATAAGGGATTTTTCGGTTTTTTTGGTTCCGTGTAAATCGACCCGCTTCAAAGTACGTACACATACATATAGATGAGTTAGGTCTCCCGCGATGAATTCAATATTAATGTTCGACTTTTGCTTTCCTGCTTGAATAGGGGGTGGAAATGCACACTGTTGGAAGTGGTGGTTCTTAAGTTTTTTACTTGATTTTTTGTAATGAGTTATTTCACTATCGTAAAACGATGATATAATTTAGTTTTTTAATAGCTGAAAAAGAAAACAGGTAACATTTTAATTAAACTACCCGTAGGTAGTCTCTCTCAACTACTAACCAAGATGTCATAATAAAGCAAAATTTGACCAGTTCTAGTCAAGTTTGATCTGGAGTGCATAAAACATAAAGTAGAATTATAATTTTCATGCAAATTACATACAAATTTTTATATACCTTATAAACATATATACTATATATATGTGTATGTATACTTATGTGAATATGTATATATGCATATGCATATATTTAGTCCTGCCATAAATTTTGTTACAAGTTCAGGTATTTTCAGATTTTTTCAAATTGAATTCCGAGAGGAAATGTGTGATCTGAAAAACAAATTCACAAGAAAATATTCGGTTATTCACTTCATATTTTCATAATAAAACTAATTGTTAATATGGAGAAGAAGTAAAACGATAATATAATTTTGCTTTATTATAAAAGTAAGGGTTTGGAAGTATGTTTCAAAAATCATTTTGGGGAAGTGACCGACCAATATTTGACCACTTTTGAAGCAATTCGACTGTCGAGCTGTCGTTCGGCTTCAATTCTTGCACGGCTCAGCGATGGCAATATCGTATGGGTTGCTCGAATTACCACCCGAATATTCGATGCAGCGCGCTATGCGTTGCGCGAATGGAACAATTGCCTTATTGAAGACCACATGGTCTACTAAAAGTATCTATTCCGTATATAACATTAATATTCTAAAAAGTTTTTCTTAAGCTAGTTTTTCATCAAGTTTGGACTGATTGGACGGGTTTTAGTAGAAAAAAAGTTGGATAAAACATATCTAAAACTAGTTTCTTCTGCATTCAATTCATCTTCGATAACTGTCGTTGTAAAGATTATTGACGCACTCATTTTTTTTTTTTAATAATTATAAAACTTTTATTCACTTGTATAATAGAATAAAAATGTCTGACCAACATTTTTTTGATACTGCATTGTTGGGGTTAAAGAAACCGCTTGCATCTGTTGAGCCTACTTTGCAACAAGATTCGGTTGACCGACGGTAGGGTTTTCAGGTGGAGATCGTTTCTCTGGTTATATATTTTTTTGAAATCGCACTTCTGCGAGTACGTTTAGGAAAGTATAGTGGTAAAAAGGTATGTTGGCATAACTTACTATAGTCCTAAACAATTAACAGAATAGTTTTTTATAGCAGTATTAAATATTATTGTATTTATTTTTCATCAATAATACATAGAACTGGCTTTAATATACAACATTTATAATCATTTATTATTTTTCAATTCTGGTTTAAAGAGTTGAGTAATTAGTGGCTCTAACGGCATATTTCTTCATCCGCTCTTCGATTTCGGGCCGGAAATGCCGAATTAAGCCTTGCACAGGCCAAGCTGCACCATCGGCTAGAGCACAAATTGTATGCCCTTCAATTTGTTTGGATATCTCCCACAACATATCTATTTCGTCAGGCTGCCCATTACCGGCAACAAAGCTAAAAAACACAAAATAAATCAAACATATTTCAAATAACAATGCTTGATTACTCTTACCGCTTCATGATCTTGTGCATCCACATAATACCTTCACGACACGGGGTGCACTGACCACAACTTTCGTGGCGGTAAAATGCGGTCAAACGTTCAATAGCTTTGATTATGTCAGTGGACTTATCCATAACAATAAGAGCAGCTGTTCCAAGTGAAGTTTGAGCAGCAATTAAACCATCAAAATCCATTAATACATCGTCGCAAACTTTTTTTGGGATGACTGGAGTAGATGACCCACCAGGAATCACCCCAAGTAAATTATCCCATCCACCGCGAATGCCTCCGGCATGACGTTCAATTAATTCTTTAAGAGGGATCGACATTTCTTCTTCTATTGTGCACGGTTTATTTACATGACCGGAAATGTTAAACAATTTTGTTCCCGAATTACGTGTTCGTCCAAAACTTGCAAACCAGGCACCACCACGCCTCATGATAGTGGGAGCAACTGCTATTGTTTCCACGTTGTTTACCGTAGTAGGACATCCAAAAACACCAACATCTGCTGGGAATGGAGGTTTTAATCGAGGTTTTCCTTGTTTCCCTTCAAGTGATTCTATTAAAGCAGTTTCCTCTCCACAAATGTATGCACCAGCGCCACGATGCATAAACACATCGAAATCATATCCTGACCCACACGCATTTTTTCCAATTAAACCCGCCTGATATGCTTCGGCGATAGCTAGTTGCATATTAGAAGCCTCGTTATAAAATTCACCGCGAATGTATATATAAGCAGCTCTCGCACCCATTGCTTTACCAGCCACTAAGCAACCTTCCACTAACTTATGAGGGTCATGTTTCATAATTTCACGATCCTTACATGTTCCTGGTTCACCTTAAATATATTAAGAAAAAATAGACCCCTTCGTAAATATACAAGGTATATAGGTAAGTTTTTACCTTCATCAGCATTTACTACTAAGTATTTTGGACGCCCATCAGATGGTTTGTTCATGAAGGACCATTTCATACCAGAAGGAAAACCTGCACCACCGCGCCCACGAAGGCCAGAAGTTTTAAGTTCATTGATGATCCAGTCAGAACCTTTTAATATAATTTCTTTGGTTCTGTGCCAATCGCCACGCTTTAATGCACCTTTTAAACGCCAGTCATGTCGACCATACAAATTGGTAAAAATGCGGTCTTGATCGGCTAGAGGTCCAAATTTAGTTTTCGTTTGAGGAGGTGGTGTTCCTGGAGGCGGGGCAGCAGTGCCTTGTAATCGTCGATGTGCTACCGCAGGCAAACTGGCACCTATCGAAAATAAAAGGTTTTTTGACAAAGTACGGTGTTTTTATTTGTATCGTTTGAATTACATAAGTACTTTGTGAATAATCGATACTCACAGGTATAACAAATAAAAAATAGCAAATTGGAATTTCCCTCATTGTAATTTTGATTTACTATTAAAAATTTTAATTATTATATACTTTGAAAATACTCACTTATTGCTGGTCTTTGAAGAAAATTTATTCTCACCAGTGCTCCTGCCATTTTCGTTATTATGTGGTCTATGTAAATACCATTGTCACATATGACAGTGGAATCTAATCTATAAATAGCGACGTCTATCGAGAATTGTGTGATGTTAAATACAGAATAGCTCGAATTCAAAAAAGATGAATTATAATCTCAAATTTAGAGGCTTGTGACTGAGATTTAAATAGTTTCTCAATATAATAAATAACCATTATATAGTAATTTTTATTCGTACTAAATGTTGGTTGTTCTAATTTAAATGCCCAAAAATTATTATTTTTTCCAATCTGGCCATAATTTAAAATGTTATAAAAAACGCTAATTTTGAGGTGCTTTCACACTGGAATAAGTTGAACATCCCTTTACTCCTGATTTACAGTGTTTATGAAATTTAAAAAAAGTGGTGGGTTGAATAAACTAATTTGTAAATTTTCTGTTTATTAATATTCGATTATTTTAGATAAATATGGCGGAAAAGTAAAGTTGACACAAGCGCTAATTGAAAAATTAATATATTTCGCAGTAATTCCTTCATTAAAAATTAATGTGAATCTCTTTGCGCCTTGGTTGTTCTCCATACTTTAACCCATTGCCGTTTCTTTGCCTTATAGGTATTTGGGCCACTCTTTTACTTCTTGATTGGCGTAGACACCGCTTACGCGATTATAGCCGAGTTAACAACCGCGCGCCAGTCGTTTCTTCTTTTCGCTACGTGGCGCCAATTATATATTCCAAGTGAAGCCAGGTCCTTCTCCACCTGGTCCTTGCAACGGAGTGGAGGTCTTCCTCTTCCTCTGCTTTCCCCGGCGGGTACTGCGTCCAATACTTTCAGAGCTGGAGTGTTTTCGTCCATTCGGACAACATGACCTAGCCAACGTAGCCGCTGTCTTTTAATTCGCTGAACTATGTCAATGTCGCTTATATCTCGTACAGCTCATCGTTCCATCGAAAGCGATACTCGCCGTGGCCTACGCGCAAAGGACCATAAATCTTTCGCAGAACTTTTCTCTCCAAAACTCGCAACGTCGACTCATCCGTTGTTGACATCGTCCAAGCCTCTGCACCATATAGCAGGAGGGGTATTATGAGTGACTTATAGAGTTTGGTTTTTGTTTGTGGAGAGAGGACCTTGCTTCTCAATTGCCTACTCAGTCCGAAGTAGCACCTGTTGGCAGGAGTTATCCTGCGTTGGATTTCCAGGCTGACATTTTTGGTGGTGTTTACGCTGGTTCCAAACTAAACGAAAGTATCTACAACTTCAAAGCTATGACTGTCACCAGTGACGTGACATGCCAAGTCGCGAGTGCGACGACTGTTTGTTTGATGACAGGAGATATTTCGTCTTGCCCTCGTTCACTGCCAGACCCATTTGTGTTGCTTCCTTGTCCAGTCTGGAGAAAGCAGAACTAACGGCGCGGGTGTTGAGGCCAATGATATCAATMTCATCGGCATACRCMAGCAGCTGTACACTCTTAGAAGATGGTACCTTCTCTATTTAGTTCTACAGCTCGAACTATTTTCTCCAGAAGCAGGTTGAAAAAGTCGCACGATAAGGAATCGCCTTGTCTGAAACCTCGTTTGGTATCGAACGGCTCGGAGAGGTCCTTCCCGATTCTGACGGAGCTTTTGGTGCTGCTCAACGTCAGCTAACACAGCCGTATAGTTTTGTAGCGATACCAAATTCAGACATCGCGGCATAAAGGCAGTGCCTTTGCGTGCAGTCTAAAGCAGCTTTGAAATCTACGAGGAGGTGGTGAGTGTCGATTCTCCTTTCACGGGTCTTTTTCAAGATTTGGCGCATGGTGAATATCTGGTCGGTTGTTGATTCTCCAATCGTTGGACATGCTTTCGTCCGACCACATTTTACAAAGAATCTGATGCATGCTTCTTATCAGTTCTACGCCGCCGCGTTTGAATAGCTCGGCCGGCAATCCATCGGCCCAGCCACTTCGTTGTTCTTCAGGCGGGTAATTGGGTACAGAGCTATTGCTATTCGAACTTCTGCCTGGTCGGGCAATGGAACGTCTGCTCCATCGTCATCGGTCATCGGGGAATCGGGTTCGCCTTCTCCTGGCGTTGTGCGTTCACTGCCATTCAGCAGGCTGGAGAAGTGTCCCCTTCATAATTTAAGTATACTCTGGGCATCTGTGACTAGATCACCTTTGGGGTTCTACAAGAGTATGGTCCGGTCTTGAAACCTTGTGTAAGCCGCCGCAATTTTTCGTAGAATTTTCGAGCATTACCCCAGCTTATCAAGCTCTTCGTACTCACTCATTTCGGCCTCTTTCTTTTTCTGTCTTCAAATGCGTCTCGCTTCCCTCTTCAACTCTCGGTATCTATCCCATCCCGCACGTGTTGTAGTCGATCGTAACGTTGCGAGGTGGGCATCCTGTTTTCTCTCCGCTGCGACACGGTGCTCCTTGTCGTACCAGCTGTCCTTTGCACTTTCCAAAAACCAATAGTTTCGGTTGCAGCTGTACGTAAGGAGTTTGAAATGCCGTCCCACAGTTCCCTTATACCGAGTTGTTGACGAGTGCTCTTAGAGAGCAGGAGTGCAAGCCGAGTAGAAAATCGTCCGGCTGTCTGTTGTGATTGCAGCTTCTCGAGGTCGAACCTTCCTTGTGTTTGATGGCGTGCGTTTTTTGGTGCACAGAGGCGGGTGCGGATCTTGGCTGCAACAAGATAGTGGTCCGAGTCGATGTTAAGACCTCGGAGCGCACGCACATCTAAAACACGGGAGACGTGTCTTCCGTCTATCACAACATGATCGATCTGGTTGGTGGTTTTTCGATAAGGAGACAGTCAACTAGCTTGATGTATCTTCTTATGCTGGAATCTAGTACTACAGATAACCATATTTCGGGCCCCGGTGAAGTCGATCAGCCTCAACCCATTTGGGGATGTTTCCTCGTGGAGGCTGAATTTACCGACCGTAGTGCCAAAGATACCTTCTTTGCCCGCCCTGGCGTTAAAGTCACCAAGCACGATTTTGATATCGTGGCGGGGGCAGCTTCATAAGTGCTTTTAAAGCACTCATAAAAGGCATCTTTGGTCACATCATCCTTCTCTTCCGTCGAGGCATGGGCGCAAATCAGCGAAGAACCTCACTTTGATGCGGTTTGCGGCTAGGCGTTCATTCACCGGGGGGAATGATAGTACCCGGCGACGGAGTCTCTCTCCCACCACGAATCTCACACCAAACTTGCGCTCCTTTATATGGCCACTGTAGTAAATGCCACAAGGACCTACTCGTCTCTGTCCTTGTCCCGTCCATCGCATTTCTTGGACGGCGGCGATATCAGCCTTTATTTTTACGAGGGCATCAACCAGCTAGGCAGCGGTACCTTCCTAATTAAGGGACCGGACATTCCAGGTGCATGCCCTCAATTCGTAGTCCTTATTTCGTTTGCCATGGTCGTCATCAAAAGTGGGGTCTCTCATCCGAGGCTGTTGTTGCATTTTCATTGGGGGTGTTTTTTCGCGTGGCGGGTCACAAACCCAGCGCACAAACCTATGCAGGGAATGTTTCGCCTTCTCACTTTAGCACGCCTTCAAACTGATGTTCTTAGGMTACCCAGAGAATACTTGGTCAAGGACCGGAAGTCGTGAACTGCTTGAGTCATATGTAAAAGAATCGTTTCTGGCCACTACCAAGTGAATGGCGATCAGAGAACTTTCCTCACTTGCGTGAACTTCTACACATGCCTCCATCCTCCTTTTGCCACTCTGTCACATATATTAATCAGTTCTGTCAATTAAGAAATACATTTTATTTATTATTCAAAATTAAAACAAAGATAATATAACAGACCGCCTCATATATTCCTCCATACATTTCACAATATTTTTAATTAATTAAATTTTTTCGTCATAGTCCATTTCTAAAATATTTATATTACATTATGTATATTCGTATACATATTTGCAAATTACTTATCAAAAGATGAAGTAAAGATTTTTTAAATATATTCAAAATATTAATTAAAAAAAAAAATAAGCGCAAATGCAACTATGTACTACGAAAGAAAGAACACGAATGTCGAAAAATGTCGCAGCGAACTGTTACGAATAAGAACACAAAGCGTGTTGCTGAATACTGGAAACTCGGCGCGATTTTCCTCTCCTCGTCAGCCCTTCGCCATAAACAAGAGTTGACGCGTGTAATAACACAATAATTAGTACGTCGAAGAAATGTGTTAAGAACATCTTTAATTAGTGGACATGTGGCAACCATTTGGGTACTTAGAAAAGTGTCAAAGTACTAGAAAAGTGTCAAATCAGGTATGGAATTTACTGTGATGAATAGTTAATCAATTGTGGAAAATAGGTAATTCGTATAATTATTAGAAAAATATAATGGATACTCTTGCATTGCGAGATTCCGCCACTGAAGTTGTAGTGGTAGATAATTCTGCTGGTTTGGAAGATACACTTGATGTAAGTGAAGAAAGGCAAATAATTCTTGTATTAATTGCTGCGTTTTAATCAGTCAACTCCAGTACTGCGTCTTCGTTTGAAAAAGCCGAAATCGGACAGACAAGTTGCCTGGCGTGAGGGTACCATTGATAATGAAGGCATGGGGAAAAAAAAATCGAAGTGTTAGCGCAAAATTATGTACGCTGTCAATATATTCTAATACTTTTCTCTACTTAGGCTGCTGCATATATAAAAAGCCGGTAAGTTTTGGAGAAAGCTCATCTTCCGATGATGACGAGTGTGAGCACTGTTTTGGGCATCCTGAAAAGCGCCGGAGAAATATCAATAAAAGCCATAATCAGGGTAACGATTTAACGGATAACAACAGTAATGAAAACAGAGAATCTGAAATAGATATTACTGAAATACAGCAACCAAAGGATGAAAATGGCTCCCACGTTATAAGTGATTGACCATAAGTTACAAACTTTTAACGAGAATCAGTTACAGAATCATTATGCAAATTTTGCAACAATATAGTTTGTTATTTTTTTTTGTAAATCCCAAGTTAGGTGTCATTCGTTTCTAAATAAATTGCAACCTTTCGGTTTGTTTACCTAAATTTATGATAAACGAATAATATTGAAAATTCATTTGTTTTTTCGGTTGGGGTTTATTTGCACGTCTGTTACATTGGTATATTGAACCAAAAATTTAACAATTTACATTTTTCACACCATATTAAAAATTTATTAAGTGAAATACTTTAAATTATCAAACATAAATAAAAGTAAAAAATTTATCAACAAACTTATTGCGTCATTTCTGTTCCGTATATTTAATGTTTAAGGAACATATGTATTTATTAACAAATTCTCTAAAAAATTTTTATGAGAATACTTAAAAACGACTTGTTGCGTCTTTAATGCACTCTATTTTTGGAAGAAAAATCGCGCAATCCTGCCTTTCAAACGCTAAAGGAATTGATTTAGAATTAATTTATCCAAACATAAGTACTTACGTATATTACTTTTCTTTGAAGCGTTATATAAAAGTATTTTTTAATTCAAAAGCCTCATTATGATTTTTTGATACGATGTTGAATTGTTTTGCCTTTGCTCGAGAGCGCCAAATCTAAAATTGATTTTTTTTCAATCAAAATTATTAATTATAAAGTTGCTGTTATAAAATCAAAAACCTTAATTGTGTAATCATCACTGGTCGTTACGAGCATTTCCGAGTCACGAGAATTGAATGCAACGCTATTTACTACATCAGCATGTCTATATTTCGCAAGGCATATACCATAATATCGGTCCCAAAGGTATGCATGCATATCTTCCGCGCCGCTAAAAATAAGGTAGATCAAAAGTTTTGTTTGATATTGTTCGATATGTTAAGATTATACCTGCCAACATAATCTTCACATACGTCGAGAAATATAAAAAAACACTCTGTACTTGGAGTGTATGCTTTATGGGCACGTAACATGTTACCCACACGTTTCAAGGTCATTAAATCAATAACATGAATGTCTATTTCCTGCGCAATTGGAGGTGGTTCTAGCGCATTAGTTATCACATAATTTTTTGGCCACGGTCGGGTATTGACATATAAATAACGATTATCAGGGCTTAACGCCATACCAATAATGTGCCCATGTAAGTCTATTACTTTGTCTACCTTGTCAAATAAATGAGCAATAGAATCGTAATTCCACCAATCAGGATCAGCTCGCAATTGGTTCTAAAATTTTTTCCTTAACAATTTTAACAAGTATAAAAGAATTCTACAAGTACCTCTCTTTCGGCGGCCTTTTTTGCGGCAATTCTTTCTTTTAGTGAAGGTCCGGGATCAAGTTTCTTTGGAAATGTTACATTTCGTATACGTTTAATTCCTATTTGGTGTGGTGTATAAGTTTTCGATCCAGTTGAGAATATTAAGTACTTGGGTACAGAGCTTTCCATTTCATCATCGTAGTCATCCGTAAAATCCAAACCGTCATCAGATTCCTCCGATGAGTGGCCTTCATTTTCGGTAGGGTATTCACGCCGATACTCTTCTAAATAACGAATAGTGGAGTCGTTATGGTTTGAAATATTTCCAAATGAAGTAATGGTGTTGGTGGAAGTCGATGCCTTGTGTTGAAGTATGTTTAATAAATACTCGGGTGTAACACTACGTTGTGATCTTCGTACTGTGGCTGCATGAGAAAGTGGATTTCCTGCAGAAGTTGTTGGTGTGGGTTCCGTTTCATTTATAACTAACACTTCACCAAAAGACTGCTTTGAGTTGCTAAGTTTAACTTCTTCGACCAAAGGGTTATTTGAATCATCTAACCACGGGCAATTAGCTACCATTAAAGCCCGTACGGAACTAGCATTTGTGTTATAGAATTTATACAACTTGTTCATAATAGGTACATGCTCCGAATCAATTTCCTGATTTGCTTTATTTAACCATAGTTCAGAGTAACTTAGCAGATGAGCCAGCCAATGTAAATCTCCAGATATTAGGTATTGGTCACTGAACCATGTACCAAATATATCATATGGGCGATTAACTACACGACAACGTAAACGTGATCCGTCTATTAACCAAGTTCATCAATTAAAAATAAAGAATATTGCTTAAAGATATACCTTTTCCTTCCACAGTGAAGACTGCGATTTCTCCAGATGTACTAATTGGTGATCCGAAATGTACACCAGATACGAGGAGAAGGGTATCACTTTGATTAAACTGGGAATATTGAGTATATTTCCAGCTGAATTGCTTCATGTTGTGCGAATACTTCTCTGTACAAGGATGACTTGAATTCCAGACCTTTTAATAATAAAAGTTTTAGAAGAAATGTTATATAAATGAATGTAAAAATTGTTTGTAGGAAGTTTTTAAGTTTAAATAATTGGATATATACTACACAAAAGAGCAACCTACTATTACGTAACCATCCTTTGAACAAGTGGCAAACATTTGCCCATTGTGTGAAAAACTAACATGGAGCACTTGATGTGTGTGGGCTTCGAGGCGCTGCGACTGAACAAAAGGTATATTCCAGTTTAAACGTTTATATTCACTTTTCCATGATTCAGCTCCTATAACATACAATTCAACTATTAAATATAAGGCCCGTATTTGCCAAGAAAATACATAAAGCTGTTGTTTTAAAAATTAGTGTTTTTATGAATACCGACAGTTTTTGTTTTACATTTTGCTATTGGCATACCCGGTTTGAGCCCTATTGTAGGATCCACTTTATAATGAAGTAAAAATTTCTGTTTCCACATAAGTTCGTCATTTGAGAGGGTGAACCATCGTTTACAAGTCGCTCCTGCATTGAGTAAGTCCTTTATTGGCAGCAACCAATATATTCGAAATAATATTGGCTCGGGTATGGACCACCATTTTGATTTGTTACTTTTGTTTGTATTACAAAAATTATCATCACCGTCAGAGTTATTCACTTCAGATTTTTTATAAAAATCCCAATTATTCTCCATAGAGCCTTAATTTTGTAAGAAATTGTTATCTTCAGTTTTTATTTAATTAAACCAACTTTACCAATATTTCAAAAAGGTTTATTTTGTGAAAATTAAGCCACGCAAAACAAATGTATAAAAATAACTTTTTCTTGGCGTAACAAGTTCTTCAACTGTGTCGTTCAAAAATATAATATAAAATAAAAACACCAAATGTCAACAATAAACAAGTCTGTTTCCTAAGTGCTAGCATCTGCTAGCCACCAGGAAGACGAAGTTTGCAAGTTATGTGCTGAACACATAGAGCGCAACAGATAGTAAGCGACATCTGTCAAATATTAAAATACACAAGATCTTGCGGACACAGTCTTGATTGAAAATATTTTTAAATTTGTCATCGACAGCAGAGTTAACAGTAGAGAGGAGCATTGTATAAGCCTACAAGTAACAAAAGAATCAGCTGTTTTCCAAGAATTTTTCACAGCTGAGATCACCTGA